AATGAAAATAATTAGCTAAAATATGGCTCCCCTCTGAAGAAGTTAAACTCATTAGTAATGTGTAACCTGTGTAAGTTAGTACTGTCCACGAAATAGAATATAATACAAATATTATTTACATTTTCCATGTCATGGAACAGAAACTGAAACAAGATCCGTTCATGATGAAGTTTGGACCAAAGTTCTACAATATTCAAATCTTTATCAAACACTGTGACGACCAACCTGTCAATGATGGAGTCCATTTTGTCCTGAACCTTCCCAGAGTACAGGTTGTTGCTGTCCACCAGCCGCTGTCCGCTCTGCAGAGCGCCGTCAATCTTGTCCTCGTTGGCCTCCATGGTGCTGACAAAGTCCTCATGCTTCTTCAGAGCTTTCTCTGCGCCGGCCAGCGTGTCGGGCTTGTCGATGTGGGCCAACGTGTACTCCTGCAACAGAGCAGCCAAAGACATGACGGCAGAAAAAGAAAACCATTAAACAAGACGAGACAGAAAGACGCAAACAGCTGAGTGACGAACATGCAGTGTGGGATGTGACTACGCTGCATTCTTCTGTTCCACATTCTTTGAGATACCTGTAGCATTGCTAACCTCAACTCTGTGGTACCTGAGGCATCGGACAAGTTATAACCTTGGTTTAAACATTCCTACGCCACACACATGTGCAGGACAGTACCTGGTTGTTGAGGATGGCCTCTACAGCCTTGCTGTCCCTCATGAACTGCTGGAAGCCAAGACCCTGGTCCAGGAAGTTCTTGCGACTGTCCCACATCTTCTGCAGCTCATACCAGCCCCGGTCCATGTCTTTCAGCCTCTGCTCCAGCTGTTGGTACTGAGGGTCGTCCTCCTGACCCTGCATGACCTGCGCACCTATGTCCTTCACGCAGTGGTAGTCTTCCTCGTGGTTGTTTATGTCGTCACGCACCGCATCGTGGAGGCTGAGCTGCTCCTCGGCCTCCGGCAGCGTGGCGGGCGTTTCCTCCGAAGCCACGGCCTTCTGGGACTTGAAAAGCCAGGACTGGAAGTCATCCATGTCCTGGAGGAAGGTCTGTAACTTGCTGACCTCACCCAAGGAGTCCTTCCTGTCCTTCAGGGTCTTTTTCAGCGCTTCCCAGGCGGCGTCCAGTTCTCCTCTGCGGGCTAAGATGTCTGCTGCGTTCTCCGGGTGATCCTGGGCCAGCTGGTCGGCTTCGTTCCTCAGGAAGGTCAGCTTGTCATTGATGGCGGCCAAATCTCTCTCGATGCCAAACAGTTTCCTCTGGATGGTCATGACAGCGGCCAGGTCGTTGCCCAAGTCTTGTGTGGACTCGATCACCCGCGTCTTGTCTTTGATCCAGGCCTCTGTCTCGTCACACTCCAGCCCGTAGCTGTGCAGACTGACGGCAGAGTCCACTCTCCTCTTCTTGTCCTCCACCATGGCCTTGAAGGCCTCCCACCTGAGAAGAATCATTTATTAAATCTCTTGTTATAAACTTGGCACTGATTACAGGGAAACACTCATTTCTTACTTAATTATTATTGGAAACTTGATTCTACTTGATAAATGTTGTTTTTGCTTCCCTGTAGACAAACATCACATTTCTCTGTGAGTACAGCAACTGAAAACTGTCTCTATATGATTAAATGCCTCAGTAAGAAGATAAAACATTAGAATACTATTTGTTTTTCCTGGATAAAGCATCAAGTGATTTATCAGGCACACACAGATGAGCAGTAAGAATGTAAGACATGTTATGTGGAGACATGTTTGAATCACCTCTTATTCAGTCGTGTCTGACATTCTTTGACCTCTTTGGTGCGAGGGTGTCTGCTGTCCTCGAGCTGTTTCACAGCTTTGTTGACGTCATCGACTCTCGACTGAACGTTTGCCATATCTTGAGCTAAAATGCTCAACCTGGTTATAAAGAAAAAAACATCACTTTTCCACATTCTTGTGAATTTCAATATTCAATTTAAACAATTTGAATTAGTTTTTTTTTACCTGTTCTGTACGACCTCCAGATCTTCCAGCTTCTCCGGCACCTCCAATCCCACCAACCACGTCTCCTTCTGGCCCATCCAGATCTCGCAGGCGTCCGTCTCGCTGAAGATGGTGTACAGGGCCATAGTGTCATCGAGCTTCTTCTGCCTCAGGTCAGCCAGAGACATGAGTTCCATGTACAGGTCCTTGATGTCTTTGAGACGTCTCTGGATATCAGGGGTGTTCAGTAGCTCCTCTGGCAGAGCATTGGCCTGTTTTGATAGAGCGTCAATAGTGGCTCCGTTCTTGATGGCTTCGTTCCTCAGGTCTTTGTGCCTCTTGAGCTGCCGCTGCGTGGTGTACTCGTCATGTCCAACATCGTCGCTGCTCATCTGCCTCTTGGCGTCCAGCAGCCAGGCCTTGAGCTCATCAGCGTCTCCTTGAAACTGGAAGAACCTCTGAGTGTCCTGCAGGTTCTGTTTCCGGAAGGCTGCCAGCTCCTCCAGCTGCTGCCACTGCCTGCTGATGTCGTCCATGCATTCTTGAACCTTGGGGGAACCAAAGTGCTTTGCCTGGATCATCTTCTCTCCCTCGGCGAGGACCTGTTCGAGGTTGCCCCGCCGGGCCCCGAGCTCGTCCTCGAAGGCGCTGTGTTTGCTCTGCAGCACCAGCACGCTCGTCAGGTCCTTGCCGTAATCCAGGGAGGAGAATATGTGCTCCTTCTCCCTGATCCAGCTCTCCAGCTCCGTCACCTCCCACAGGAAGTACCAGAAGCGGCGGGACTGCTCCAGGCGAGCCCTTCGCTGGGCCGCCAGGGCACAAAGCTCCTGGTAGCACAGGTCCAGGTGCTGCACCCTGTCCCGGATCACCTGGGGATCACATGGCTTGTAGCCTGGAAGAATAATGAAGGAGAACATCAGTGTTACATTCTGTTCATGTATTCATGTATCTTCCTCTATTTCCTTGTGTCTTCTCAAATTCTGGTATTTTTGATAACAGAAAAAAATCCCTTTCCTGACACAGGCAGCCGCACAAACACAGTGAACAAAATAAAAAAGATGGTTATAAGATAAAATAAGAAGACGGAACAAAGCATCTGATGGGGACTTTTGGTTCTTGACATTTTGCTCTACTCGATCCCACGGACAAGTTTCAGTCAAAACTCAAAAAGTGTTGAGGTCTGAGCTCCAGGTATGGTCCATGGCCTGCACTTCATTCAGTGTCATCATCCCTGATAAAACCACATCATAAATAGTTTTGCCGAAGGGAAAGATGAGCCACAGCACTTACTGTCTCCATTTGCAAACTTGAGAGCAGCAGCACTGGCGTTGTGCACCCGCTCTGCCTGCAGGGCGATGTCATTCTCTACCAAGGCATGTTTCTGTAACAGGTCTTCAACCTCCAGCAAGTGTTTCCCAAAGTCAGGAGAGAGAAGCCGAGCCTGAGGACAGAATCAAACCATGTGATCAGTTTAGTCTTTTTGTCAATGCGTGGTATCAGTTTATGAATATTTTCTTCCTGCTCTGCACCTTCATGTCGTCCATCCAGCTGATGATGTGTAGCATCTCCTGGAAGATCCTCTGCAGGGTCAGGTTCTTATCCAGTCGCCCGCCACGAGCCTTCAGCAGCTCCTGCAAGTAGTCCCACAGACGCAGGATGTTGTCTTTCCGCGCGTCGATCCGCCTAGCGTCGTGGTAACGCTCCGACTCCAGCTCCTTGGAGATTTCCAGGAGGGACTGAACACGCTCCTCGTACGCCGCAATGTCCGTCTCGATGGCGTCGTGCTTCTTCTTGGCTGCTTCCACGGCTGGCAGATCATAACCGAAGTTATCCTGAGGGGCAGAGAGCAGGGAGAACTTTGAAATACTTAAGGAGATTATTTTAATACATTAATAAAGTTTCAGCTTCTCCTACCTTCCTCTAAATAACAAACTTTTTGTGCTCTGAAAGTTTTATTTTCACTTTTGGTGTCATCATGCCAATCTGTCTCTGGTGTTTACCTCCATCATCAGTAATCAGGTGCACAAACAATATTTTTATTCATTAATACAAATACTGTAAAAATCTTCATAATCTTATACATGTTAATAACACCACTAAATAAACATGAGATAATTACATTGTGCAATATTCATGACTTCATGTTTGTTGTGGATGTTTTACCTGAGCCACGAGTCTCTGGTTCTCCAGGAGCCACGTCTCCCTCATGGCCGCCTTCCTGTCAAACCTTCTCGCCATCTGTTCCAGCTTCTCCTGTCTGATCAGCTCGTCTCTCAGGACGCGCTCCCGCTCGTGCTCCGCCCTCTCCAGACGCTCCCACGCCTGCACGCAGACGACGAGACGCTCCATTAGGATTCACTAGCTGTCGTAATGTCAACAGCAGAACCATGATCCTAACTGTAATAAACATTACTTTCAAATTATTGATTCATCAGTGGATTATTCTTTTGAGTCCGTGAAATTTCAAATTGTAACGGCCATCACACCTTCAAGAAACCATAAGCTGTTTCTTTACATGTCGGATTTTGTTGGATTAATTATTGAAAACTTAGAGATGAGATATTCAACTAATTCTTTTTTTTTAAACGCTAAACTGTCTAATTATTCCTAGTTTTGAACTGTCTTGGTCTGAAACCCCATCGATGCTTTTATTTTTATTTATTGCAGTTCTGTCAGGCCTTTATTTTGTAAGTAGCAGTAATTATGTCTGTGATGTTACCGCTATAATTAAATTAGTCTGTGGTCAAATTGTGGCCTCAGGATCAAACTCTGCTGAATGAATTGATTTTTGTGCTTTGAGTTTCAAACCACAGACTTTTGAAGAGACGTGTTTGTATAAACAGTTCAAATAAAAGTCAGACTTGTTGTGCACTGATTCTGTTTAGTTTCCATGTGCAGCTGAGGCGTCTCACTCTGTTGATGTCTGCCACCAGGGCTCCCTCTTTAGGCGTGTACACCCTCTGGTTGTTGGACCTCATACGACTCTGGATGGTGAAGAGCAGCACCTCCAGGTTTCCCTTCTCCTGGAACCTGAGAGGTCACACAGACAGGTTAGCTGTTAGCGTTAGCCACAAGGGACTAGTCACAAAAAATTAAAAAAAACACAAGTATGGGGTCAAACTGAAAACGTAAATGACACAAGATGATGCCAAATACAGTATATTGAACTCAAACCAGTCACTGTTTTGATGATCGGTAAATTATTGAACATTTCACATTTAACTAAATACTATATATACTATATGTAAATATAAGACAACAGTAGAAATATGTATGTGCAATAGAATGGAATAGAGTAGATTCGAATAGAATGGAAAAGGGTAGAGTAGAATAGAATAGAATGCAGTGGAGAGGAGTCCTGTCTTGACTCACTTGGGCGGCTTCTCGACGGTGCGGTACGTGTTGAAGGCCTGAAGCTGCTGCTGGACTCCCGTCAGAGAGTTGGCGAGTTTCCTGTTGTTCAGAACGAGGATGGTCTGCTCGATCCACGTCAGCAGGTCTGACGCCAGCGTCTCGTACTTGTCAATCATCTTCTCTGTCTCGATGGCGTGATCCAGAACCTGAGGTCAGAGGGACAATCGGGCTCACGCAGGCCCAACAAAACTCTCACTGGGTGAACGAGTGTGCGTCATGTTTCCATCTCACCTTTCCAACTCTCTTGCCCTCGACGGCGAGCTGCTTCATCTTTGAGAAGTAGTGGTAGAATGCCACGACGTACGTGATGATGGACTTCTCATCTGGGTTCTCTGTGAACACATCTGCACAGAGAAATGGAAGACACAGTCAGACACAGCCGAGCCAGAGACATCACTATAAACATTTATTTCAACTTGAACGCCCGGCCTCCGTCGGTCACTCGCCTTCTGGGTCTAACAGTTTGGTGACGCCGAGCTTCTGCTCTGCCACGTTGAAGGCGTTGTGGAGGTTGTGCGTCGGGTTGGACCTCTTTAGGTTGTTATAGTCCACCAGATCTGGCCTGGAGGGGAAATAGTGAGGGAGAACAAACGTGGAAAAAGATGATGAGGCAGAGAAAGAGACGAAGAATAATGAGGAGGAGCGACACTGAGCAGACGGGTTTTGTGGGTGTTTACATTTCAGGGCTGGTGAGAGTGGACTTGGTCATTCATCTCTCCTTACCGGTGTTTGTGTATGAGAGCGTTGAAGGCCATGCCGTCTTTCCAGCAGGTGGTGAAGTTTGTGATGTTGACGTTGGGATATCTGCAAAAACAATGACAACCAAGACGTCACTGACGGGACGTTACCCAGGAGCTCCTGTTTTAAATCAATGTCTGAGGTTTGTTCTGCATCTCAGACTGATTGTTCACCAGTTATATCTGAGGCTAGAGAGCAGAGCAACTTAAAAAAAGTTTGACCAAAAAACTTGAAATAGAATATAAATAAAACGACAATGGTAACAATATATTTTGGTTTTAAATTACAAATAAAAGGTTTTGAGTTACAGCGCCCCAAAGACTCACACCACAAACATTTCTCTCTATTTAAAGATTTACAGCTGTGCACAGAACTGGATTCAAGTTCACACTCTGTTTCCCAGAGGACATTTACAACAGCTCAAGCCAAAGGTCACGCCTCCCACTTACCCTGCAGTTTTCATCTGACACCACAGAAGAAGAGCGTCCTTGGCCGAGCGCGTCTCCTTCTGGTCCGCCTGGCCCGTTTCCACGACGATGTCCTGGATCTGATGGAGAACAAGGAGCACAGCTGGATGGTGAATAATGGAAGTCGACTAATGAATGTGATGTTTGTGATCAAACAGGAACAATTCACATCCGAGAACAAAAACCTGACTGATACTAACACGTCGCTAATAGGATGCACCAGGAGGGAACATGCTGGTAAAGTGGCACAAATCTCCTTCTGATATACATCATTTATCTCCGCTGGGGCTGAACTGAGGAGGGTTTTATGTGCGTGCAACACAACTAATCTCGAGCGATAAATCATCAATGTTGTTAGACGGCTGGAATCTCACAAATCTAAACCCAGAGTCCGACTGAGAAAGAGGCTGGTAATTATTGAAGTTCTTATTTTCCAGTAATTAGAGCAGTGATGTGATCAGAGAGACACGTCCTGAGAGACGGCTAAATTTAGCCGGCTTTGGTTCTCCTTGTTTTATGCAGACTGAAAAGATACAGACAGGACTAAGTGAATTCTTTCCTTTTTTTTTTTTTTTTTTTTTTTTTTTTGGTGAAGGTTGAATAATGCAGGAGGCCATATTGTTTGAACTAACGTGTCTAAAAATAACAGTGTTGCTGTCAAATTAAAAATAAATATCTGTCCCCTCCGAGGAGATAAAAGAGTCAAACGGACGTGTGCTGATGTTGTGGATGTGCTGGTATCAGCGGATAATAACATCGGGAACCTGAAGGCGTCTCATTCGAGGAAAAAGCTGAAAACATCCTGTGGCTGCTGGTGTGTCTGTGCTGCCAGGGAACAGACCTGAGAGACTAAACCATTAACAACCAGACACTCGTCTGTTGAACTCAGCAGGTTGTTTCTACGATCACATTTAGCTTGTGGCCAGATATTGAGTCTTTCAGCCCAGAACTGCAGTGGTGATGTTTTTAGTTGAACGAGCTGTGGAATAATTAAAATGGTTGGATAATTAGCAGCAACATTTTTAACCCTCCTCTTCCCAGTGACGTGTTGGAAGCCAAAAACTGTATCGTGATGTCAGAGAATTCAAACGTGAAATAAAAACTGTTTGTGACTTTTATTGGCTATTGATGTGTTGACAATTATTGATCCTATAATGAAAACAAAACCCTCAGAATAACCAGTCTCTGCCTTGTTTTATCATATATTTCATTTTCTGGTATGGTCATTTCAACTTTTACATTAATATGTAGTTCATGCTGCATTTCATGGGTTTCGCAAATTACTAATATATAGTCTCTCAGTAAGATGCTTAACAAACCACAATTAGAACTGTAGATTGTATAACTTTTAATCAACACATCTCTAAAACTGTTTCAACAGTCACGGAGCAACTGAAACTATATACTGACATATTTATTGCACAGCTTCCAACAGAATACACACATCACATCAAGTTTATGTCCAAATTATATAAGTTTGGCTTGTAATTTTCAAAATGTTCTCATTATGTATTTTATTTATTAGTTCAAATAATTCTTCATCTGCTTCCTGAATCTTTACACTGTTTGTGACTTGCTGCTGTAAAGTGTGAATCCCCCCCCAGGGATCAATATCTATCTCAGACTGTGATAAGGGACATCGTTTAAAGAATGGACCCAGTGTGTACTACAAAGTTGTTTAACTAATGAAAGGGGAAAATAAGTATAAGAAAGTTAAACGTGGCCTTTCAGTGAATCCTACTTTACCTGGAAGCGCAGGATGATGGTCCAGATGAGGCCCAGGATGAGACGGTGGTTGCCGTCGACGATGTCGTGGGAGCCCATGTTCTCCAGGTGGACCCTCTGCTCTTTGAGGAACTGCAGCGCCTTGTCCACATTCTCCAAACAGTGGATACGCATCCGGCCTTTAGTGGGTTTAGGCTGCAGACAGGGAGGAAGGAGATAGAGGGACAATTATAAAGAGAGGAGTGAACACGATAATAGAAGGACAATAATAAAGAAAGACTACAAAGTGTGAGGTGTAATAGAAGCGTCTTTACCAGTCGTTCACCGGACAGCACCTCCAGCAGTTTAATGAGCATGCGTCCGTCCCGCAGGTCCAGGTAGAGGTCAGAGATGCGGCAGCCGACCCGGGACAGGATGGAATTGACCCATTTAGTGAAGGTCTTCTTCTGCACCGCCTCGCGCTCATCTGACGGGAGGACAAAGTTAAGAAAGAACATGAGCTCCATGAATAATGAAAAACCTTCTCAGCTCCCGAGCAGCACCGCTGGAGCTGGTAGGGATTTACTGTCGAGCACAGAGGCGCTGCAGACGGGTGGATGTCTGGGAGACTGAGGGAAGGTGGAATATCTGCGATACAGCATTTCAGCATTTGTCTGTAGGAATCACAGACGGAGGATCTGCACCTGAACTTCAGGATTTTTGGACAGGGAGAGTCTGTGAAGCCTCCTGACACAACAGACCCACACTCCTCTGCACAGATATTAGAATGAATTATACAGCACGCAACAGCAAATACTACAAGACAGTGATGGAAGAAATATGAGACGCAGGTTGTTTTGTTAAAGCAGCTGCTCTGATTTAACTTGCTCTTCTTATTCTCTCTGGATTTGAATGAAATCTTACTGTAGCTTAAGTAGACTGAAAAAACAAACACAGTAGAACGATGGATGCGATTTGATTGGCTCCTGGGTGAAACTGTGAAATGCCAAAATTCCTCGACTGCAATTTTTTGAGAGTGAGCATCAGACCTGCAGAGGCTCATGGGAGGACGAGCACATGGGGACAGACGTTGAATCATTTCTCACTGAACAGCACACGAGCCTCCCACTCAGCAGCAGCAGATAGAAAAGCAGATGGGCCGGACGGCAGCATAACGGTGTGGTACGATGTATGATCGATTGGATTTTGTCTGTGAATCCGCATTCGGGGGATTTGAGCTGTTTTCCAAGCACATGAAAAGTACCTGCATGATTTAAAATGTCTGTTTTAACAAGTCCACTGAAGCACAGAGCAAATTCTTACACACATCTTTTATATCTTTTATCTTTTATCTGCTTTGTTTTATTGTATTTCTGTGGTCTGGCTTTACTGCAATCCATGAAATGAATTTTATTATTATCATATAGAAATAAATACAACTTGACCTTTGCCATATTTCTTTATATTTTATTTTGTCATGTTGCTTTTACTTTAAGAGTCCACAGAGGCAGACAGGAAGCTGTGACATACGACACGAGACCCCAAGACGAGAACTGACGAGAACCATAGATGTTGTTCTTATGGAGCATACATGAAAAATAAATGATCGTATTAAACTTGCAATACAAAACTTAATATTATATCACGAAACTGCCTCACACACAGACACACACACACACACACA